TCTAAAAGAGAAGGTCCTCTCTCTTCTCTTTCTCCTCTAGCTGTATCTTACACATATCTGCCACACTGTTACAGATTGTGGCTGCCTATAGGATACTATACAGTAATGAATGCACATATTTGCTCCTTTATTGGATCACGTTGCACTTTGTCTTGACGACTTGAAGACAAACGCCAATTAAACAGCACCAGGTGTTGTTTTACAGCCCAGTCCTGCACACAGCGACACATCTGGTCATCATTCAGACCTGGCGGTCAATATTCTATTTAAATGCCACACTAATGAGAAATCCTTGCAAAGCCAGGCTGATCAGATTCTCTTTGTAGATTATCCAACGGCTAAAATAAAACTCAATCAGACTATAATTGTCTGTCACATTGGTCAGTTCCTCTGTTTCTGTAACTGCTACAGAAGATGTGCTATGTTTTACGATTTGGTGCACACCACCCACTTATGCTGAGGAACAGGCAAGTTTGCTCACATATTTTTTTTTTTGAGAGAATGAAATAGTATTTCGATTATCCATGAATCACACTTGAGGGGACACTTGAGCCACCACCCAAGTGTCCCCACCAACTTTCACCCTAGCGGTGACGGTAGCCTGGACTTCAGCGGACCCGTGCTTCTCCCCGCCAGCCCCAGAGCTGATGGCCCGGTCCGGCCCAGCAGGACCCCTCCCACCAAAAAAAGTGTCCTCCTTTTAGGAAACCAAAATCTGGTCATCCTATATTACGCTGCTCCTTCGCGAAAGTCAGCTGCCCACACTCTGAACACCATGACATAGAATAGGCTATCAGTTGTTTATGGTAGAATGAAAGATGATGGTGCAAGATAAATTAATTAAGATAAAATATTATTAAAGAAATCTACGCTGAAACAAACTAAACTCAGCTTTGGAACACCAACAGGTCAGAGGAAAAGAAAGAAAGAAAGAGGTGAGTTCATTTCGCCAGTAAATATATATCATTCAAAGCACGGCTAGAAATAGGAATCTCATCGTCCTCAGCAAGCATTTCAAGCAACTGTCACTAGTATTTCGTTTTACAGTCGGAGCCTACTTAAAACTATTGATGCACACGGGGAAAAATAATAGAATGAAATTGTACTACATTTTTCTTGAGGTAGCCTAGTTGTGTTGCTCATGTTGCATTATCAAGAATACAGAGTTCTGCTTTGGCTATTTCAAAACGGAGCTAAATAATATGATCAAACAGCAAATAACAACATTGTTCTTGAGGTTATGTATGAATAAAGATTTCAAACAGCCCATGTACAATATTGTATTTGAGGTTAGCCTAGTTGTGTTGCTCATCGTGCATAATGAAGAATTAAGATTTCTGCTTCACCTATTTCTGGTTTATTTATTCAAGAGACAATCAAACGGGTCTGATTACCATTGCCTTGAGCAAGTGGATAGCAGAAGAAGAAACTGTAACTGCACACAAGAACATACTCAGCTAAGACTACTAAGACTTCACATTTCCACCTTCCATTAGATGTGCTGGAGCGCCGTCTTGTGATATATTATTGCAGGTCATTTGATTCATTTAGTGGGCCATGCATATGTATGGTGATGATGGCGACAATAACATTAGTAGAAATAATAATGCCATATTAATAACAACAGCAACAACAACAATAATAGTTATAATAATAATAATAATAGTAATAGTAACAATGATGTGTAGGGCGACAGTGGCGTTGGATGTAGAAGTTTGCCCTGAAATCGAAGGATTGACGGTTCAGTGTCGTTGTGTCCTTGGGCAAGACACTTCACCTGCATTGTCTACTGATGGTGGTCAGAGGGCCCGAAGTACATGTCTTTTACCATTCATATTTACTTACTTGATGGGCTTGTGATTTAACTGTCTTTATTCTTGTTTCCAAAATATATTTTAAAAAGTCACCATATTAGTCGCAATATTTGACCTATGTATTTCAAAAATCCTGGTTACGGCTCTGTATTATAAATATCACTAATTGCATTTCTACCAGTAGAAATAAAATTTTAAGTTATCTGGAATCAAATACGTACTAGTAAGAACTACATTTCAGATATCTACAAATCTTTAATTATTTCAGGTGGTTGTTTTAACATATATTTGTTGGTATTTCAGATATCTTTAATAGTATTCCTCCTATCTAAAATGAACATTTCAGATATCTGAAATGTAATTTTTACTAGGACAAATAACGTCCTATCTAAAATAAACATTCTGATCGTCTAAAAATGCATTTCAGATCTCCGTAATCCGATTGCTAATGGTCATAATTTTTTATTTCAGATATCAAGAATCAATGACTAAAAATAACATATCTGACGTACTTTAAGGTTTTCAGACCTAAATTCAAGACATTTGGATTTATGGGTCTAGCTTCCTCTCTGTGGATTTGAAAGCATTTTATCTCGTAACAACGAGATAAGACCTCATAATTACGATATACCAATCTCGTAATTATGAAATAAGATCTCATAATTATAAGACAACATGTAATATTTAGGAGATCAGGAAGGACAGTCATTGCAGAGCTACGCTACATGAAACATGAACATGAATGGGTGGTCGGATTTAATATGCTTTTATTTCATTTTAGGTATGCCACACTAGGAAATACCTCAATGTGGATGGAATTTGTTTTAGTTTATCAGCAATACGCAGTAAGTCCTGAGAATTGTTAAGGCAAAAAAGCCCACTCTACTCTGACTTGCTGGAAATTGCACTGTTCCTGCAGGAACAATTAAACCAGCACGGGATGCTTTATGGTTATAAATGAATGCATCTGAATGCATTCCAGCTGGCTTGGTGGTGTCCCAAAGAACTGTTGGCCGGTACCTTCTCAAAATCCTAGATCCGCAAGGAGTACAGCTGAGGCTTCAGAATTGTTTAAAACTACCAGATCCCAACTTTATGTGGCATGTCGATTCATATTAAAAACTAAAACCATGCGGAATCTGAAGCAATAGAGCTGTAGACGGATTTTCGCGTATGGTCATAAGGCTACATGCTTACTCAACAAGTAGTAATCTCAGGGTTATAGCTGCATACTTTGTATGCATACTTTGTTGGTGAAGTGAAAAACAGGAGCGTAGTAAGCTCCAAAAAATGTTTTAAATGTGTATAAAACTGTGTAGAGTGGAGGATGTTCTTTTTCCAGGGGGATCATCAAATTAAGTGGTCTTCCTAATTCTCAATCATTCTGGTGATATGTTTATATAAGGCCGTTCTACATGTTCGTCCCCATTTTCACTTACTGGTCGTGAGTGTGACATAGTGGAAAATTTGCAAATCTACTTTTGGAAAGCTTGTATGAACGATGCAAACAGCAACTTTTAAACAGAGCCTGCACGAAGAGAAAGGGGCTCGTGCATATGCTCGTGCACACATTTAATAGACGTTCCCTCTCGGTCACGGGTTCAGGTTTTTGCACATGGATTTTGTTCAAGTGGAAAGGGCAGGTCTTTTAAAAAATTCATGAAAATTCTCCACTATATGTTTAATTCAATTCAATCCAGTTTATTTCTATAGCAACAATTCAAAACACATATCAACTCAAGGCACTTTACAGTTCAACCAGATCATACATTCAAATGGATTCAAAGTTGTCTATCAAAGGAAAACCAGTTGATTGCATTGACTCATTGACTCGAATGCAATCCCTCTCACTAAGCATGCTTGTAGAAACAGTGGAGAGGTTTCTTCCTTTTAAAAAGGTGCCCCGTCCAGGAAAAACAAAGCCAGGCAGATGAGCTCCAAGCCAACTCCCATGTCAGAGGATGAAGAGAGCACATCCAAGCAGTAACGGTCAGAGAAACAGGACTACAGTGGAAAAACAGATGCCAACAGCACAGGTGATGTTTCTCTCCAGGATGGTGTCATAGCCAAACAAGAGTATTTTGAGTTTAAAGATCAAAAGGGTGGAATTAACATTGTTTTGCTGCGAAAGGACATGGTTTTTACTGAATAAATGGTCTACAAGGCAAAAAAATAATTAATAACACTGTTTATTTTTAAGAGTTTTAAATGTGAGCACATTGGTTTGTGAAATCATTCTCACTTTCTCAACTAGCCTCTGGATCCTGAGGCTGAAATGACAGCAGACCACTGGAAAAACATCCATCAAGCAATCACTTTTATAACCTGAGTGCTAGTTGAGTGTACGAGGTCTCCTAGAAAGTTTTCTTTAGTTTTTCTCTTCTTTTTTTTTTTATAAATATGGTAAATGGCTTGTACTTATATAGCGCCTTATTTCAAGTCAGGAGACTTGACCAAAGCGCTTTACACTACATTCATTCACCCATTCACGCACACACTCACGGTGGCAAGCTACATTGTAGCCACAGCTGCCCTGGGGCTCACTGACAGAAGCGGGGCTGCCGTACACTGGCGCCACCGGGCCCTCTGACCACCATCAGTAGACAATGCAGGTGAAGCGTCTTGCCCAAGGACACAACGACACTGAAAGTCAGAGCCGGGGCTTGAACCGCCAACCCTTCAATTTCAGGGCAAACTCCAACATCCAACACCACTGTCGCCCCTAAATGTTTAAGGATCAATTGGCCATCTGGGAATGCCCTCACGCATCAACCAAATGACTGATGTGACAATGATATGACAAATAATTCAAGCTGTCAGATTTGCTTACAGTTTTCCAGCATACAAGTTCAGTAAAACGCTTCCACAACATTAAGTTGAAATAATAATGGTATTATGAAGTCATTACTGGAATATTTGAGTCCTAGTTATGTTTGGTCCACATGGTGGTGCACATGTACAAAAAAGAAAAAATGTGTTTAATCAATATGTTTTACACTAAAAAGCTACACTGTATTAATTCGAGTGTGTGTTTTTTTTCTGCTAGATAGAAAAACTTCAGGTTAAACCAGTGTTACTTTTCTGACATTGTGTCTTTCTCTGCCAATCAAACAAATCAAATCCTGCATCTATTCTTCTGTTGACAATCAGATCCCATTCTAACTTTTTAATTTCTTTAGCTTCAAAGTGTAATATTCCTTTTGTAGGCTTAAAACTTCCAGCTGCACTTTTAGCGTTTCTCTTTGCAGTTGATCCAAATTCATTGTGTCCAAATCAGAACCTGTTAGGAGCCCTGAGGATGAGACCTCCTGCTGACCTTGGAGATAAGCATGGTCTGAGCCTCGGATGCTTATTGGAGGAAAGAAAAACAAAATAAGACAGTTGAAATGTGTTAAGGTATTTAGTTGATCAGAGATGGCTGGAATTTACCTGTTCATGCATAATTTTTGAGAATCCACATGGTCTAAACTGCTTACAGCTGTGTGATTGTCACATTTTCTCTGACCAGGAAAAATCAAAGGTAAAGCAGAAAGTCCTGCAAGTTAAAATTCTTTTAGTGCCTCAAATTTTAAAGCTTTTACAGAAAAAAGCAGCATTTGGTTTCTGAACTCACTCAATGATTCGCCGATTTCTTCCTCAGAAGGTTGTTGTCTGGGAGAGGGGTCTGCCGCCATGTCTGCTCTTTCATTTTCTATTAGTTCTCCACTATCCTCAGTTACTGATGTTTCCAGAAGCTCTTCACTCCTACTGTCTTTGTGTTTTTCCAAACACTTCCTTGCTAAATGCCTGTCTCTTTTCTTCTCAACTTTGGGGAAGAAAAATTATTAAAATGAAGATTTTTACAACTAAAGATGGTAGAAAGATAAATGGGAATTAGATTAGTTTAAATTACAGGTTATACTGTCTTTTAAAGAGAACCAGAATTTCAAAATGTCCCTTTAAGTTTTAAGACTTCTTCAGAGCTTCACCCACACACTGAAAAATGGTAGATAATTTTACATTTCCTAAAGCGCTACCTTACTTTTTCAAGGTTGTTTTTTTACATATTACTCAATCGTGGATATTTAAATGATCATAAACATTCTAAACCACAACCTAGAGCAAACTAAAAAGAAACCAAATGTTTAGAAAAGTAGTATTAACTCTTACAAACCTTCTGGGGGACACTCTACAGCAGAAAACTCACAGCCACTCCTCGTCTGTGGAACCTTACAGAACAGACGATAAAGATGTTAATATATCTTTGTGAAGAAATCTAACTTTTAAAGTAAATAAGATCTTATATTTAAAGTCACAAATGTCCTGTAGGCCTCGTTTTATATGATTCAGTTTTTAACTCTTGATTAATTTCTCTTATCTTTGTTCCAGTGCTTTTTTAGAACCTTCCCTGGATTTTATTCATTGTCAGTTTGCAGCTTTCTCCCTGAAACTTCTAGAACAAGGGCCACCAACCTTTCAAGTCTGGGGGCTACTTCATGGGTACTGAGTGATAGGAAGGGCTACTAATACTAACCTATGAACGGTAGGAGTCAGCTTTCCCCTTAACTTCATACATAATAAACATATATTTATTGAGGAAGGAAGGAAGGAAGGAAGGAAGGAAGGAAGGAAGGAAGGAAGGAAGGAAGGAAGGAAGGATCAGCGTTCACCTTAAAGGAATAGTACACCCAAAACATGATTAGCCTTCATTTTCTACTCACCCCCCATGCTGAACAACACTCCGGAGTACTTTTTTGATATCTCAAATGCATCTGGAGATCTGGGAGGCTTCTTGCTGTCTGCTGACATTCAAATAATGGAGGTCTATGGTGCCCGAGGCAGAAAGGTCCATAAAAGTCCACAAAAAACGTGTCAATATTCCTCCATACTGCTCTTCCAATGTATTCCAAGTGTCCTGAGTGGGTAGCGTCCAGAATTTACTTGAAACGAAGTCATTTAGAATGTTTTTAGAGCATAAACAGTAGTGTATAGGATTTCCTAAAAGCGCGTTCACGAGTCTACGGAAACCGCGGCAGACCAAACCAGATGAAAGTGCGCATTCAGCTCGGCAAATAACTCATGCTCTTCCTCAACACTGAAGTCCTCAGACATTTTTCTTTCGTTGTTTCTTTCTTTGCACAGGTAAACAGCACATTTCTTCTTCTACGCTTGCATTATCGGCAGAGCAGACGCTGAATGCGCACTTTCGTCTGGTTTGGTCTGCCGCGGTTTCCGTAGTCTCATGAACGCGCTTTTAGGAAATCCTATACACTACTGTTTAGGCTCTAAAAACATTCTAAATGACTTCGTTTCGAGTAAATTCTGGACGCTACCCACTCAGGACACTTGGATTACATTGGACGAGCAGTATGGAAGAATATTGACACGTTTTTTGTGGACTTTTATGGACCTTTCTGCCTCGGGCACCATGGACCTCCATTATTTGAATGTCAGCAGACAGCAAGAAGCCTCCCAGATCTCCAGATGCATTTGAGATATCAAAAAAGTACTCCAGAGTGTTGTTCAGCATGGGGGTGAGTAGAAAATGAAGGCTAATCATGTTTTGGGTGTACTATCCCTTTAACTTAATACACTATAAGCATATTTTTATTGTTTCTTTTGACCCCTAAATTTCTTTATGATATTGCCATTTTTAACTCTCTCTAAATGCATAAATACTCTGTGAGATTAAAATTATGAAATGGTCTATAAATTATATAAATATTAAACAAATTATAATAAAAGAAGGGCAGCAGAATAAAATCAAAATGTCAAACTTAGCACACTGGTGAGTTTTGCTGTTATAAGAAGAAGCTGTGGGCATCGCATGAGGCCCCTGAGGGCCCCTTGGTGCCTGCGGGCACCACGTTGATGACCCCTGGTCTAGAGAATCTCTGCTATCTCTACTTTTCTATACCATCACTAGTTGCAACGATTCTCTTAATTTCATTAAGGTTAACCGTATCTCCTACTTTAGTCGTCGTTCTTTAGCAGATAAAGCTTACATTTTTTCTGAAAACTTTTCACTTCCACCATTTAGGCCTTTTTAGCTGCTTGACACTTAACTGTTACGATTTCTGTTTTCAAAAAATTCACTAGAGAAATTCCCAAACTTAAATCTAAACAAGGCTGTGGTATTTCCTGCCACGCACCGTGCAAAACTGATTCTATTCTATTTATTAAGCTTCAGTTATAAAACCATATTCACATTTTTTCTAAATTATTTCATTCTGCATCATTTCTTTTAATCGTATTTAACTGAAGTATTTGTGCACAGATTTTTGTCCTACTGATGGCATTTTTTCGATCATAACGTTCACTCTCATCTGCAGTGCGATTTTCTCAGGTGTTGAAATGATCAACCTTGGATCGGCTTCTGAAAGAGAAGAGGTGTATTCACTAATCCATTATTGGTCAGCTGGTGTAAATAAGCAGACTTTGAACATTGGCTTGTGTAGGAAACATCACCTTTAGGAGCAAAGATGTTTTCAGGGTTGTCAAACTCCTCCCAATCATCTTCTATTTCATCCTGATCCAGTTTATCATCTTGTTTTTCCTCTGAATGGTCTGAGTTCACATAGTCACCATCATTTCTAACAGATACTCTCCCTTCCTCTTCCTCCATGCTCAGGTCCCAGTTTTCAGTGCCTGAATGTCTCTCACTAATATCCTCTTCCTCGGAGTCTTCTGTAATCTCTGCTTCTGACTCTCCGGAGTGATTAGATCCTCCTAGAGAGCCATTTTGTCTTGTCGTGTATGATGATTTATATCCATTGTTCTGATAATTCTTGATTCTTTTCTGTTTGAAAAACAAAACAAAAATTAAAGACACCATTTAAAAAGAAATGTTCTTGTATGAAAGTGTTAATTTACCTTGAAATTCTTTGCTCCTTTAAACCTCCCTGTGACCAGGAGGCCTTCCTGTGATAAAGGAAATGATTAGCTTATTAAACAGAAATGGTGTTTTCTTCAAATAGGTGCAGAATAAAACTGGAATTACATCAAACCAATACTGGAGAGGCTTTCCACCAGAGTATATAGAGGTCTTCCATTTCTTGAAGGAACCTTTTCCTCCAAATTCCTCGAAGGCAGGTGGAGAAAACAGGCGACCCTCACGTTCAATACATTCCTCACCTGCACAGCATAGCCACAGATACTTAATGTGAACAAAGCATTAAAAAAAGGAAAAATATCTATAGAAAACCTGGTTTATTTTATTTTTTATTTTTTTGGAGGGCTATTAAAAAAAAAAGTTCCACCATCACAATTTATCCCACCTCTTTAAAGGACTCGTTTCTCCAAATCAAACTACCTTACACTTCTCATTTTATGAATTCCTCCAAAGCAGACCCCTCATACTCTGATAAAATATTTCATAACAGCTTGGTGTGCTTACTTTTTGCAAGTTTTTTGACGTCCATCATTCCCTCTTTGCTCCCACAGATTACAGGCCACATTTCTACATCTTGGAGACAGGAAAGCCTCATAAAGCATCCATTGCGAATGTAGTTTTTTCCCCAAATATTCATCAATAGTTCAGTCTAATAAAATATTAAGTTCAGTATAAAATATGTGTTTAAATTCTTAATGTTGCATTTGTTGTTAAAAAAAAAAAAAGGTATGGATAGCACCTTTATCCCAACTGTATGGTGGTGTATCATCGTAATTCTCATCCTCCTCCTCCTCATCATCATCATAATCATCATCATCCTCATTGTTGTCGTCAGGATCCTTGTAGTGGACAGGCTTTTTTTTTCTTAGGCTTTGTCTTCGGTCACATCTTTGTCCTTCTTCCTCCTCTTGCTCACCAATGGATGTTAATGAAGAGCTCCTCCTCTTCATCACGTCCTCCTAATAAATATAGTCTGTCCTAAAAAGGAAAATGTTCACAAATGGAAGGGATGTAAACACATAACACTCATTAATATATTTCTAGGTAAGGTGTGAGGGAGTTTTTTTCTCTTTGGACGGCAATGCTTTAGGATTTGGATGCCATTTTTGACCAGTCTCTTTAATATGAACTTTAATTGAGGTGGTCTGGGTTCCAGGATGAATTGTTAATGCCGGCATCTCATGGGTGAGTTAACCTCTGATTCTTTTGTTATCCATCTGTGGATAAAGCCTCTAAATGTGGTTTGCTTAAGCTTCAGCCTTGCACATGACAGATTTTGTTTCTGATGTGTTCTTGAATTCCTTCAAATCTAGGCATGGTTTGTTGATATTTTGAATATGTAGCCCACTTCCTGTTGTCAGTTTCTGTTTAACAGAGTTCTGGATTCTACAGGCCTAACAGTAATCAGCTCTGAATATGATTAGTCAAACTAGACCTGGCTTCCTTGAGGAAGAGAGAAATGACAGATAATCTATGATATAAAAAGGTGAAAGATGTTTTTTCAGTAAGGCAGAAGGGGTTTCTGTACATTTCCTTTCTGTATTTATTTAAGTTATCACTGTCTGATGTTAATTACCTTTTAAAGTACCTGAAACACTTCAAATATAACAAAAGACAAAACACTTAAGTAATCTTTTTAGAGCTATTGTTCTAGTTGTAGTGCAACCTGCAACAAAACTGCTAGTATTTTTGCAGCCGCAGCGGTTTTTTAAAGCCATGGCTTGCTTAATTTCCTGACTAACTGCTGCAGTGAACCCTGTCATGAATTCATTCGTTTCATTCAATTAATCTATAGTCGACTTATTTTCTGACTGGAAAACTAAACAGGTTTGTTAAAAACCTCATAACAATCAACTTGTGTCAAACAACTAAGCCTTCCTAAAAAAAAAAACAACTATATCTAGTTTTGTTTCAAAGTTTCAAAATGGGAGCTTACTTGTGCTGGCTTGTGGTTCTGCTGGCTTGTCAGTTGTTCTCCCTAAGTACAAGTCTCAAATATTAAAAGCTTTGAGAACCCAAGAAAACCTCAACAGTAAATGTCTTGCCTCCACTGAAAAACAAGAAGAAATGAAACAGAAACTTAAGTTGCAGAGATGTCCCCGGCCCCCGCCCACATGAGTCACATCATGCCAAAACGTTTTGTGATCTGAAAATACCAGGGCTTTTATTTACATTGTGTCATATGCCTTTCTCATCCTACAATGGAGGATTTTGAAAAAAAGTAGTGTTCTCACACACAGGAAAACAAAACTCCAAACAGGGATCAACAAGTTTGCGTTGCTAAACTGAGATGTGTAAAAAAAAAAGACCAAGAGATTAAATCAGATTTTTTTTTTTTTGTCAAATAAACTCTCTACCCTCACAGTCTAATGTATAATCTACAATATTTTAAAGGGGAAAAGGATATCTAAAAGAAGGATACATTAAAGTCATCCTTTCCCGTCAGGTCTGTACGGTGTGATAGATCAACTGGGGACGAGATTAACTGATTAGAATCTATGCGCGCCACAGATGATACTGAAGCTTAGGTGGCTGTGTTGATGCCTGGCGAAAAAATATTCCTAACGTAACAAAACTGTTCCCCAAAAGAATCAACCGACATATCTAAAGAATTAATTTCTGTTTTGTTTTTTCAGATTAGAACGATGTGGTAAAGAACTTGTATCCTCAGCAAAGCAGATAGTGCAAAGAATCCCACACAGAGAACAGCGTCGTTCACAAGTGTAAAGAAAAAATACAAATAAAAGTCTGTCTCACACTGGAGTGTCATTTCTCCTGTTGAACGATGAGCTATAAATGAAAACCTGTAGCTTGGACAATAAAGTCCGCCCACTTTCTAAATTCCTGAATGTAAAAATAAATCCATTAAGGAGGCCTGTCATTCAGAATGCACGTGTGTAAGCAGCACCTTTTCAAGAAAAACTGACTGCAAACAGAACAATTAGGCTTCTCATCCTTCTAACTATTTCCACTTTATTTTTTGAATATTGACAAAAAGTTATTTTCTTAGATTCCACGCTCTCATATTTCCTTTATTCTCCTGTCTGGACACAAATACAAGTCTCTACTACGGTGTTGTTGTTTTTTAGTGGATCCCAAAACTTTGTCCCGTATGATGAACTGTATCAGGTCAAACACCTTTATTTTTATTGCTATTGTGTTCAGTCTGTTCATAATATCCAGTTATGAGTCGTTAGCGGGCTGCTGCTGAGCTGGTTTTACTGCCCCTTATGTAAAAAGGGGGTAAAATGTATTTCCTTAGGCGCATTGCAGAATCGGAATCACATACCTGTTGATGCAGAAACTTTACTTTTTCTGTTTTCACAGTAGAATTTAAATCCCAGAGTTCGCAGCTACCGCTATGGTGTGGGTATGAGTCGCCATGACTGCTTGATGTTTTATCTTGTAGAAAAATGCAGATATTCTTAAACGAAGAACTGATTAATTTGTGACGGGGTCCACAGCACAGCTGTTTGGAGAGATTAGATGGCTGCGTGGTTGCCCGATCAAAATGCCGCAAATGTAAACAAACGGGTCAATATAAAGGTTATAATTTATCCTGGCCTAATATCTATCCAACACACGTCTGTTGTCTGTGGATAATGTGAAATATTATGAGTAATTTAAGTTTGGGGATCTAATAAATGCATCGTGAGGATCTGAAAGCGTCAGAATCTGCAGAGTGTCACAGATTAACTTGTGATCCAGCGGATCTGGAGGAATATGGGCTGTAAAACACTCCATCTCCTGGGATGTTTTTTGGATGTTATTATCTTAACCTCAATTCAGGTTGTAGCAGGCTACTTTAAATGTTTAACTGTTATTGTTGTGAAAAACAAAAAACAAAAAAAAAAAACAATGAAGGTGTTGATCTTCAAAGCAGTTTGGGAATAACTTCATGGTCGCGTTATTTCTGAGCCTGTTTTTTTTTTTTATTCTCCTCTTCCTACTTAACAAAAAGCCATGCTACATTTACAGTCACCCAATGCTTTCCACAGCAATTTTCTTTCTTAATTTACACACACTTAAAAACATTTTTGTCCAACTATTGGCATCCTTTTCAGCATATTTTCTGTAATCTCTGGTGTTAAAATAATCAAACATGGATCAACTTCTGGAAGAGAAGATGCGTATTAAAACATCCATTATTATTCAGTTATAATTCAATGCAGATTAAATAGACTTTTAGTGATTTGTGTAGGAAACATCACCACATACATCTTTAGGGTTGTCAAAACCATCTCAATTGTCTTCCATTATATCCTGATCCAGTTAATCATCTTGTTCTTCCTCAGAATGGTCTTCCATAGTTGCCATCATTTCCACCATCTACTCTTCCTCCTTCCTTAGTCCCAGTTTTCACTGCCTGAACATCTCTCACTAATATCCTCTCAGACTATTATGCAAACTCTGCTGTTGAGTTGTGTGGTCTTAAATCGCATTCTGATTCATCTTCATTATTCCGTAAAGTCTGGTCTTTCTCTTGCAAAAAGAAACACAGTTTTGGTATTTCCATCTATTTAAAAATAAAATTAAAATTGCATGTGAACATGTTGGTCTGCACGATTAGTCTAAAAACAGCATGGCAGCAGTTAATGTTTTGTTTTTTGTTGTTTTTTTATTGACCGTACAGTATATACGTATATTTACTCAAAAAAAATCTAAGAAATACAATCAAACATAAGAACAAAGTAACATAAGTAGGAGAATAAACAGAAGGAAAAAATGAGGGGAAAAAAACAGGGAAACACTAGTGATCAAGTTAAATATTCTTGCTCCAATTCAGTCCAGCTTCTTACAGTAGGAGCAACAGTAAAACAGGAGAATGATGGTTTCTGGTTCTAGTTGGCAAAAATCACAGTTGTAGTTGATGTTTAATTTGAATCTTTCTAAAGTTATCTCTGTGACCTCAGCACCAGAGACGGGAGAATACGACCCGGTACCCCCAGGCTCTGCTTCCTCAATGGAGGACATGTAGATGGGATAAAGGAGGCCTTCGAAGCTTTTCTCCTACCGGCACACAACCTTCCGAGTCGAGGTCAGCAGCACAGCACCCCTACTATAAATAGTGTTGGTACTGCACTGCTTCCCCCTCCTGAGATGCCAGAATTATTTTGAAGTCGTACAGAAGTCTTTCTCCTTGGCCTCTCCCAACCGAATTTTGCCTCAGCGACCAGCCGAGCCACCCGCGTGTTCGAGGATCGCTGCCACCACATGCACCTTGCAGCCACAGCTTCGACTAGCCGCCTCAACAAGAGGCATGGAACATGGTCCACTCAGACTCTATGTCCCCCACCTCCCTCGGAAAGCTCTCCCAGAGGTGGGAGTTAAAGCTCCGTCTCACGTTCCCAACAAACCCTCACAATACTTTTTGGCCTACCAGGTCTGACCGGCATCCTCTCCCGCCATCTCAGCCACCAAGTAGTGTTTGGTGGAGAGCTCTGCCCCTCTTTTCACCAGAATGTCCAACACATTCGGCTTTAGATCAGATGAAAAAACAGTCAATCATGGAACTACGGCCTTGGGTGTCCTGGTGCCAAGAGCACATACGGACACCCTTATGCTTGAACAAGATGTTGGTTATGGACAATCCATGAAGAGCACAGAAGTCCAACAACAGAACACCACTCCAGTTCAATTGAGAGTTGACGTCCCCCAGAAGAACAAGGGAGTCCCCAGAAGAGGTCCTCTTCAGTATCCCCCTAAGGACTCCAAAAAGGGTGGGTAATCTGAACTGCTGTTCCATTTAGCTAAATTGATTTTCACTGTTACAATTTGCACAATTTGATGGTTTTTGGTGTGCTAAATGTTTATAGATTATGGTCATATTTCAGTAAAAGTGCTTGCTATGACTCATTGTAGAAACGTGATGTAACAGGAGCAGCAAACTTGGTTTACTTTTAGCGTTTAACATAAGGAGGAAATGAATGATTTAGTTCACATTAAAAATAAACTGAAAACAAACCGATTGATGCATCCAACATGGTTAAAGTAATGAGAGAAGCCCTCTGAGGGTCATGCACTGCTTTACATGTACAACGTTTAGAAACTTTACAAAAACCCTGACACAAAATAAAAAAATAGATAAAAGCTACATTTTTTAGGATTGCACACTGCTCTTGCAGCTACCACAGAAGAAAACATAAAATAAAATCATGCTAACACTGTTAAAGGTTTGGTTTGAACTGAGCTTACTGCAGGTAAGCAGGTGCCTCGTTATCTAATGGATTTCTATTTTTCTCTCCATCATTGATAAAAGGCAACAAATTATGGAGAAAATCATGTTTGAATGTGAACAAGTTACATCTGTATCTGTTATGATGAACAGTGTATAACCTTTTGAGAACTGTATTACAGTAAAACACCTAAATCGTTTTTAGTAAAACAAAAACAGATTAGCAGTATCAGAGTTACCATGCTGAACCAAAGAAGTAAACAAAATAAATGCTAGGAGACAAATCTAGCTATGAATTAGCTTATATAACAACATTCACCAGTAACGGGTTCAACTGGACACATAGAAGAATACTTTAAAATATCATTGTGGAGTGCCGGTTTGATGGGTTTTTCTATTTTTTTGACTACTTCCACATCATTGTATAAATCACCATACAAAGCTGCACTTTATGAACTGTATTATAAGCTGGACACTTTGAAACCATTACTTTGGTCTCTGAAAAACAAGTGGTCTTCAATCTTAAACACATTTAAAATGGAAAAGTTAAAAAAAAACATAAAAATTCACATTTTGAATTTAAAATTTACATCAACTAAATCGATGTGTCAGTATGACTAATTTCTTCAAATACTGGTTGTAGCTCTACTGATCCTAGTTGTAGTCAGAAAATCAGTTCTCATTTGAGCAGTTCAGATCTTTTGTTTTTAAGTCCTTTAGCATCAACGTGTAATACTCCTCTTGCAATCTTAAAACCTTCAGCTGCATTTTTATTTTTTCCTTCTTCAGTTGATCCAGATCCAGTGAATCCACATCTGATCCTTCAGAGACCGCTGTAGTTTTGGTCTCAATTTCAGAGGCATGAAATCCATTTGAGAGTTGGATGCTTCAGGGAGAAAAAGAAAAATATATCCTGTAAAAAACATACTTTGCTGGTATTAAAAGTGTCAAGGCAGTTTGATCGTACCTTGTCCCTAATCCTTCCAATTCTGTTTCTCCATTCTCGGATTCGGCTTTATTAGAGTCATCGTCGTTAACACAAAGTGTCAGATTTAGGGGTGCAGCAGGCAGCTCTGTGCAGTAAAAATCAAGGACAAATATACAATTTAAATCTCCGTTTTCACTGCCTTTACAGACAGTTTTCTGCATCCATTGGTTTCTGTTGTGTTTCCCAGTATTTTGCGTATTATAATATATTTTTACAATAATAAAGGGATACAGAAAAACTAAAGTTTACCTATACAGCACCAAGACACAACACTGCATCTTAGGACACTTTCCAGAGTCAGTCTAAATAGACCCTACAGACATATTACTTACTACTAACGCTGTTGTATTAACTCACTGACTTTGTACAATAAACTCCTCTGGTCAGCAGCCGCTAATATTGTTTTTAAGTCGGGTTTACTTTGTGATTCCCAACTTGAAAGGGATAGTCTCTACTATGAAACTTAACTGGATTTCACTCAAAGAGCCTCAATTTAGCTGATCCATCTTTATCTTTGTATGATGGTCAACATTTTTAGACTTCCAGTCATAGAGGTAAAAAAAATAAAAACTCAAAACAAACAGAAGCACAGCTATTACATTTTAAAATTAACAACATAAATATATAGTGAAATAAAACCAATTTCCACCCTATTAAACCAATTATTCTAAAAGTATAGTAAATAGCAAACATGTTATGGTAAAATTCAACACCAATAAATTAAATAGCTATTTGTCAACATTTTAAGTCAAAATTCTATTCAACATTTATTCATTTTCACTTTCTACCATAAACAATAACCACAAAGTGTATTTCATTTTATTTATTTATTTATTTTTAAGTTACTCACTTGATTTGAATATTAAAACTGTTCAGTACAATAATCAGAGTATTTGTGCTGCTCCAATGAGATTCTGCAAATGAGTAACAGCACTGTCCTTGAAAAAACTTTTGCACAGTTCTAAATTTACATGTGCTAATAGTATGATAAACCATATTAAATGTGTAATTTATTCTGGCCCCGATGAATGAGAAATAGGAAGATTATTGATGAAAACATGTTTTTCAAACTATGTCTGTGCCTATTGGCCAATGCTCTGACCAATGAGCGCAACTGACTGTGACGTAGTAAGCACGACAGAAAGCTGGTAAAACAGTGAATACATCCTTCTTAAAAATGAATGAGCATAGAGCCTCTTCCTGCTCACGTCAAAACCCCGAAGGCTTTGCATCCAAAAATTCAAAACGCATCTCTGTGTTATGATTGGGCCGCCAGTTCTAGAGCCTGTGGCATTGATCTAGGCTAGACCACTCGCAAGCATAAATGATTTTGGCCACTGGTGAGTGGCACTAGTTCACTAGGCTAATGTGCTACCAGATCTGTTTGCTTCTTATGCTGGAGCACTTCCTCCAACAGGAGTTACAGGTCAGTCACACCAGAAGTACCTGCATTCTCTGATTGCTAACAAGCAGAAGAGCAGACAGGTGCAGCAGAGGGGCTTGGCTCCCTGGCAGTTTGCCAGAACAAATGTGTTGTTGACATCGCAACAATGCCCAATACCAAACATCCATGTGGCGACAGGAGAAGAAAATCTCACTTTGAACAGGAAGAAAATTCCAGTTAAAAACAGGCTGAGTTTGAACGCCAAGCTTTCTAGACCAGCTGGCAGTTTGAGAAAAGTGAGCAGACATACGAAAGCAACATAAGCACCAATCAAGGAACTTCATATGTGAGAGAAGTGTAAAAGGTTAATGGTATAGTGGAGGACGTTCTTTTTCCGGGTGGATCATCAAAATAAGTGGTCCTCCTAATTGTCAATCATTCTGGCGATATGTTTACATAAGGACATCCTACGTGCTCGTCCCCATTTTCACTTACCGATGGCGAGTCTGACATAGTGGAAAATTTGCGAATCGTCTTTGTGAAAGTAAGTTGTATGAATTCCGTAAAAATTAAAAAAAATATCCACTGGACTTGATTTTCATTTGAATTGAGAAAGCTTCCTGGAGAGGTGGCGAAACGTCTTCAAATCTTGAAAACCAAGTCCAGTGGATATTTTTTGAATTTTTACGGAATGACTATGACCTGGATGACTGAGAACCTTCATCAGCATAAGTTGTATGAACAATGCAAAGAGCATTCACGAGGAGAAATCGTGCATGCTCTCACACACGATTAATAGGCGTTCCCTCTCAGGAGCGGGTACAAAGTTGTGTATGTGCATTTCTTTTTTTCTTTTTAAGTGGAGGGTCTTTTCAAAACTCGCAAAAATCCTCCCCTACATCTTTAATGGCTACGAAAGCTTTAGTGGTAGCTTTCAAGTTCTACATGTTTGAAATTTTGGTCAAGCTTGATAGAACCAGGGGAAGCAGGTGCAAATTAGTGTTTTATGATGAATAACTTAGAAAGAGGAAAAGAAAAAAATTCAGTCCAAAAAATATCAAATTAAACAAATTAGACTTACATTAAACCTTATTTTCAACTGACCTTATCTACATCTTAAGTTCTTAAATCCGTTTAATATTTTTAACTGTTTGTTTATATCATACATAAGATACTTTAATACAAACAAACTTAAGCCTGAAGTTTCCGTGTAAAGTTTTTTAAAAAAATTTGCATCAGTTTCAACCAAAAAGTTTCAATTAATAATTGAACTGACTTTATTTTTTTATATTGAGTGTGTAGATAGACATTTTTAAGAGGAAAACTATAATTTTTAAAATAATATGTATTAAGGGCTATATATGTGAGGAGGATTTTAAAGAAGGGAAGATTGAATTAAAGAAATATGAACTCCATTTAAATTTTTATCAGAACTCTAGCTGCAGTGTTTGGAATCAGCTGAAGACTAAACTGGATGTTTCTTCCCATTTAAGGGGAGTTTTCCTCTCTACTGTCGCTACAAGCATGTTGTGAGGGATTGCTGTAAACAATGCAACGTCGCCTCATGCTCATCTAGACTTCATGTAATCTGCTGAGTTTTCCATAAATAGAAAACTTTTTGACCAATCTGTCTGTAGGACCTAGTTGAATTGACTATAAATTGGCTTAAGATGACATTTTGTAAATATAAAAATAAATTAACTAAATTTTATGGACTTTACAATAGTCCAGCCTCATGGACTAGTTATTTAGCATCCCTCCTGGGTCATATATTTCTAATATGTTTTTTTTTTTCCAGAGATGAAATTCTAAAAATTTAACGAATAAGGGATTAAAAAAAATGTAAGAATTGATTTTACTAGCAAAACCTCACCAGTCCTGTCTTCATGATCACTGGTTACGGTCACCTCCTCAGGGGAAGCTGTGAGGTTATCATCTTTGCCGTTCAACTCCATTGCATTTCTTTTCCCTACAGCTTCTGTTGCGTCTTTAGGGTCATTGTTCTCTGTGTTATTGTCCAAAGGCTCACACCAACTGTCTGTAAAAGAAAAACAATAGTTACTTATCTTAAGAAAGATGATTTGAGTAGTTGCATAAATACTCACAAACCTTTTGGTCGCCCTCTTGTCTTATATGTTCTCTTCTGTAAAAGAAAACAAATGGAATGAAAAACAAACAGGAAGACTCCTTTAGTTGAACAAAGATATACATAGAAAATGAACCTATTGATTTACTGGATAATGAAGAAATAAATATGTGAAGCACTGTTGATTTCAAATGCAGATGTAAAACTGTCATTAAAAGTCAGGGTATGTCGCTCTGACATACTGCTATCAGACCATTTGCTTCCTTCTTCTTAGTGTAATCCAGCAATCAGTCTTGGGAAGGACTTATAAAGGCCTCCCAACATTGGTTTTATTGCTCCGGGATTTTTAAAATTGGCTCCAAGCAGTGCATGAACTTAAAGTAATTATTGAATGCATATATTTACAAACACAATTGAATGAAGTCAATTCTGGTATTTGTCCCCATTCAACAGTTTCCCACAGCAGGTTTAACGAACTCTGACTGAAATCCTCAACTCTGAATTGATGGAGCTTGAGGTTGGAAACTCTTGAGTTAATTGGTTTTAAAACAGCTGCTGTGAGTTAGTTTAGTAACCCTGAGTAGGTCCACTCAAGAGTTGAGCAGGCGCGTAAACAGTATGAAAATCTATTATCAGTGGATCACTGATTTAACTCATCACCATGACAACAGGCAACAGGACAAGCCTGTTTCACACCACTGGAACAAGAGATTTTTAATAAGAAATGGAAAGAAAAATGGAGAATGTGTTTGAAAGACAGAGCAGCAGCGCTACAGTTGCAAAGTAGAGGAGGATAGAGAAACATAAGATTGCTGCTCGAGTTAGTGTATAGGTTTATGTGAAATCTACAGTGGCAGACCATTTTAACATTTATTTAAAGTCGTAGGGAAACTTCTGTTCCAACGGTTGCATTTCCGAATTCTCCCGAGTGGTGCACAACTTTACACCAGTGAATTAAGTGAATGTGATGGGTCGTTGATCAAGACGGTGGGGTTGTTGTGGCGAAAGGTTCGCAAGCACGTTTGATTGTGGCCGAAATTTTTCGGAGGAATCTTGCCAACCAGTTTGCAACTTAGTGCTAGTAGGTTCCCAATGGCAAATTACATTGGGACCATGTAGCACCAAACTGGTGACTTGGCAACGACACTGTCATGAACGCTATGGACAGCGGAAACATGAAAGAGGAGGAGAGTTTTGTGTCGGAGGTCGTGGATGAGTCTCCTCCATCAAACACTTTTTATTCAGAGGAGGAAAACGGGGGCGCCAGAAGCTTGGTTTGGTGTAGAAGGCTTACAGGCGTACATGTTTGAGCCCTTGCCTCGCAACGCTACCAGTTCTGTTAGCTCTACGCCTGCTGAAGACACAGACGTCCATCCCCGTGAAAATTGGGACATAACTTAATGGGAAAGTAAATGATTCTTATTTCAATCTTTGTGTATATTAGCTGCGACATACGAATCAAAATGCTATGACCAAAAAAATTATTGGCCGATTTTAGGTGATCACACTGACGTATAACTAGCTAGCCTGCATAAGATAACGGATAAAAAAAACAACAAGATTTTAAGACAAGATGTTTTTTTTGTTTTTTTTTACTAAAATTTTCTACATTTTGGGACAATATCATCTGATAAAGAATACATTTATATACATGTTTAAGCCAGAATGATTTGAAATTTAAATATGATTTCCCTATGACTTTAAAGAACTCTCCCATCTGTTGGCAAAACTTTTTAAGAAAGTAGAAAAAACAAAATCCAGAATTTTAATTTCAGAAAAGGAGAATGTAACTTCCTTTAAAGTGTTCATTTGGAAAAAATGTATTTCAGGGTTAAACTTTACAATAACCATCAAAACCATTTATTAATAATGGTATAGGGAACATTTATTAACGATTTATAGTTTATTAACATTTGAATCATTTTTAATCAGTGTCTAAGTCATTTATAAAAAGGTGAATAGATCATTTATTAAGGTATTAAGCCCACTAATGTAAGGGTTAGGGCTAACCTAACATGGCAGGGCAATGTAAATTAGTCGGATTAGGGTTAAGTCATGAAGCCCACTGATGTTAGGGATAAATAAAAATAGGAGGGCAATATGAGCCATTTACCTTTTAGAAATAGTTTAGGTTACAATTGATTATGAAACATTTTTAAACTGTTAATCATTAATAAATTGTCTCTTTAACATCTATAAATGATGGTTATGATTGTTATTGTGTTACCTATTTTAGATATCAAAAATATATATTGAGGAAATCTAATAATCAGCAAATTCAGCATGGCAAAAAAGAAATTTGATGGCCTCTTTGCCTGCTAATTAAAAAAAGCGAAAGTTGGAGTTGAAAAATGTGAACTTTTGTTCACTTTTGCGTTGCGAAATCTAATGAGGGACTAGATAGGTGGAAGTAACCTTTAAAGGGACCATCATCCAGACGCAGCTTCTGGAGGTGGTATTCCCATACTGGTTCCGTCTGTTGAACCCAGGAATGCCAACAGCTTTATTGAGCTTATAAAAGTGAAAACGGCGCGTTCAATCGCTTGATAAATCCATGTCCACCATGATTAGGTGAAACCATTAACCATTAGGCTCCATAACATAGGAGCCTTTTCCCTGCAGGGCGAAAGTTGCATGCTATGTGAAATACTTTCAAGGTGATTTTTGCGTTTTTGTTAATGTATATTAAGTTAATCAGTTGGCCCCAGCTCAAGAACAGAAAAAGCATTGAGCAAAATGTTGAGATGTGAGAGAAATGTTTATCTTTTTACTGAACATCTCATAAATAACTTTCTCTGCCATCTTACCATAGAGAGCCTTTTTATGATTAGCTGTGATTTCATCTTCATCTGTTTCTTAGCTGTAGTGTTGTCGGGGTCATAGCACCTTTCTGCAAAACAGAAACATTCAGACAGGAAATATCAACCAAAACTAAGCAGAGCTTTCACAATATTTCAGATTTTGACATTCAAAAACTTTTAACGTAATTTAATATTTTATGTAAAAGACCACCATCACTTCAGTCACCCAGCTGAAAAAAAAATAATAAAAGTCATCCGTAACAGCAATTTTGCCAACTATTTCCACTTAATTTCCCTGCCCATGGCGAAGAAAAGAATCTCAAAGAATAATGCTGCCACTGCCATGTATCAAACTAGAGTCATTTTATGCAGGTGGATTTCTGCAACACGTTGTAGTTGGAAAAAGGACAGAACATTTCAAATTTGGTCTCATCTATGAAGAGTAATTTTTAGGTCTTCTCCAAACCCCTTTACATTAACCGAGACTGAGATGACCTCTGAATGCTTTTAGCCCATTTTATCCCCACCACCCCTTTTTTAGACACTTAATATTTCTCAGGAGCTCTACAGTAACTGAGAAAAGGAAAGGTTATCAGGCCCTATGAATACCTCCTGTAAAGCTTATCTAATATACAGTTTTAAAACCAAGTCCCTGGTCAGGCAGACCCCTGGTCTACTACGTAATGTTACAATGAAATGTGTTGAAGTAGTTTTTACAAGGCAAAACACGAGAAACTTGTATAAACACCTTTGCAGGCTATTTGAGCAGCAACCAAAGAAACAACACAGGTGTCCGTTCTGACTTCAATAAATATTCTTTTGCTGGACACATCACCTTCTGTAGTGTTGTGGTCTTTTGCGGATTCTGGAGCTGAAAGCACATCCTCCTCAGTAGTTTTTCTTTGTTTTGGCTCTTGTTCCCCATCTAAATTACTTCTGTGTCCATTATCCAACGCATCAGAGCCTTTAGCAGTACTCATGTCAGGATCCTCTGTAGACTTTATGTCCGTCATCTCTGAGGAAACTTTTATTTGGGTCACTGAGTTGAAGGATCTGTACTTTCTGCTTCTAGTTCCCAGGAATGTGACAGCGTTTGTTGACTTCCTTCTGTCTTTTCTCAATGGCACCTCCACCTTCTGCTATACGAATTAAAGATTAATTAAACACCAAACATACACATAATCATCCAAGAAAGTGTATGGTCACTTACCCTCATAGGCTCAGATCTTCGTCTTAGATATCCAACCGTTGAAAGGATACCTTCCTGTAAGGCCAAACATGTACCCACTGATTAACTTTTGAGATTTCAATAATTTGACTTCAAAACATAGAAAAAGGGACTTACAGAAAAAAAGTGTCCCAGAGGCCTTCCTTCATGGAAAATTGTTCTCTTCCATTTTTTACAGGAACCCTTTCCTGCTAGATCCTCAAAGGCAGGTGGGGTAAACCACAGGCCCTCACACTCAATACAGTTCTCACCTAAAATATATACCCATATGACAGATTATATAGAAATGACACTCTTAAAAACATTGTTCCAAAAAGTATTAAGTGTTAGAAAGTGCCCATCATTAAAATATCCAACGATATACCTACCAAACAGGAAAATGAAAAACATAATTTTCTCTTTTATTTAACATGTATCATAAAGGTTACAGCCATCTTAGATCTTAGTCTTAATCTTAGTCTTCAGGACAAAAACTATTATTCTTAAGACACATTTTACTATTCCCTTTATGTGATAGTTTTAATCGGGTTTATGTTGCACTTCATAAAACCGTTAACCTTCACAATTTAAAATACTTTACCAGACTGACAGCTCTTGCATAGATACTATAATAGCTGAGTATAGAATGCTGCCATGCAATTCATCATTGCTGTTGAATTTTAAAATTCAAATAAACTTTTTCTGTGAATTCATGTCTGGCAATTGTGGCTTTATTTCTAAGACTTTACCCCATGGTTACTGCTGCTGAGGGGTCAAAGTAGATTTAAATTCAAAGGGGTCTGATATTTAAAAAAAAATACACAGAGAACCTTCATAACTACCTTATAATGCCTAGGCAATCTGGACCTAAATTTCAATATGTTAACTAATATGTTGAAATATTCAAATAGATAGAAACAAGAACAATGAGAGAGAAATATTCAAAGATCTATCTACCTTTTCATCTGGGTCTTTCTCCAAACATAAACATGCAATATAATATTTGCTTTGGATATAATTTAGGGATTCTTTTTGGTAGAAATTAAAGATGCATTTCTGCAGTTTGTCAGAGTTCAGTGTACAGTACCAGACCATTGTGAGCACCGCTGCATGCCAAATAGGCGTGACCAAACAGGACGCACTAGCATGGCTGACACAGCACAATGATGCATTTTAAACGTCTGACAGACCACCTGCTAACATTTTTATTTAGTCTTGTCGACTCAAATTCACAACCATGAGTCGTTATGTTTTTCTCCATCAAAGATCCACATTTAGCTCGTCCATTTTTGTTATCGTCATCAAAAAAAAAAGAAAAAAGGAGCGTCAATGAAATAATTTTGTCATCATTGACAAAAACACTGAGCAGAACTGCTAATCAGTTTGTGAATTTATGAACACAGGGTTCATACAGGAATGAGTAACTATAATTGAATGCTCTTAAAAATTATTTTAATGCCATCAAGAAGTAACAGCCACTTTTGTTGAAATTTGCATTTTCCCATTCTCTAGCTTTTTCTCCGCCTCCCCTCTTCTTTTCCGGATGTACGGCTTTACAATCAACCCGGAAGCAGTTCCGCACAAATATATTGCAATATATAATATATCTGATGAAAATGTTTTTATAATGGATTTTTAATAAAGCATTTTAAATGCCAAAATAATCAAATTTAATGAATTTTAGTGCCAATTAAGGCTTTGATTTAAAAAAATAAGAATCTAATTACTTTTAATTATTTTTAATGACCTGCAGAAACCCTGGAACAGTTTTAACCCCCATTTTAGGTATGGTGCAAATCTTCTGGTCAAAATAAATCTTAGTGGCCAAGACGTCATTAGAATCGTCCTCACAATGGTACGATTACTTTTGCTCACCTCTTTCCAGCTTCTTTAAATCCATCACTCCCTCTTTGTTTTCACAAGTCACCAACCAGGTTCCTAGAGAAAAAAAAATGTGGAACTTAATTCTATGATCATTGTCAGCAATCTTAAAGACAGGTTATAACATGATAATTTTACTTTAAATGCGTGGAGGTATTTCTTCTCAAAAACAAAAAAGGTAGCAAAGACTCACCATCTTTCTTTGCTATGCTTTTCCTTTTCTTCTTTTTCCCAACATCTTGGGTAGATTCTGTATTTTTCTCCGGCTTTGTGCTTAATTTTCCATCCCCAGATATTTTTTCCACATAGCTGGATTGGAGCAACGATCTCTTTCTCTTCGGCATATCTTCTTACCAATCACTATTTTCCTATTGGTGTGGTTTGTATTCCTCTGAAAAGATCTGCTATGGTAAGGTTTGGAGGGGAAAAAAAAAAAACACGAATCAAAGGAAGGCAACATTAGCTGTAACACCAATAGAAAGTTGTTTCATGGCAATCTCAACTGCTCCACACCTCAGAGTAAAATGTAAAAATTAAAATGGATTTACTGATAACAATTTTCGATCTAGTCACATTTCAGGCATAAGCATTATTTTCCTGGCTCTTTCCAGGTGGGTAGCTGTCAGTGCTGCACAAATCCTACTTCATACGTTACAGTGTAGTCAGCTTTAATTGTTCAGCATAATAACAGCCAGTGTTCTGGCAAACTAAACAGTAGTATCCACTATGCACATGCTACATCAAGAAATATTTGGCTATTTGAATTTTGAGCCATCTTTTCAGAAGAAAACGGTTTGCAAATGATCGGAAAATGTGTTCAGAAAGTGGTATCACCCCTCAAGGATTTATGATTATTCATTTGAGATGAAAACAAGCATTTGGGCTGATATCGTCCTGTAACCTTTGTATGAGCTCCACTTCAACACATTTCATTCAAATTAGCTTGATGCTAATGAGAGTTTAGCCATTTTATTCAGGGCTGTATGGACAGGAACAGGTCATATTAGTCTATGGTGTCTTGCTACGTTTAATTACGTTAAAGCTAAAACGAATGTGTTTGTATTTGTGTGGCTTTAACTCACCTGAACGCAGAGGGAACTGAAGCACACCTAGCAGCCGAAGCTCAACTGTGCAGCCTACTACAATCAAACGCCGCGCGCGCGTTGGAACTACATCATTACGCACTTACTTACGTCATTACGCCCTTACCTTTTTTTGCTGTTAGATATGGGGCCAAAACTGTTGCTTTATTATTTGCAAACGTGTGTGGAGAGTTGTTCATCTGTATCTCGATTTATGTGTGTAATGGGATTTGAAAATGTGGAATGAAACTGTAAATGTGTGAGGAGATTTGTTTGTCTGTAAAACAATCTGAAAATGTGTAAAACTACTTTGTATGTAATCCAGTTTGCAAATGTGTAAAAAATCCACAACCCTGTATTCAGATTTACAAATATGTACTGAGATTTACAAATCTCTATTTAGATTTACACATCTGAAGTAAGATTTGCAAATGTGTAGATCAATCTGTAAGCACACACAGAGACACTTATGTCTGAAGTATTTGTATTTAGTATATCGGTTTGCAAATTTTCATTTGCAAATAATAAAGCAACAACTTAGGCTCCATATATAGGACGTTTTGACATTTCTTAGCTTGACAGAATTAGTATGGCAGGCCGTTTTGAAATTTATTAGAAGTGCTGTCCTCTCTATTGTTCCATTTGTTGATTTCTAAAATAAGGAGATAGAAGGTCAGGGCATAGGCTACTTTACTCATTCTGCTCATCAGATTGCCCTGAGTTGATGAGAACATAGTTTTACGAAAACATAATTCAGTCAAAGTTTGTCAACTAAACATTTGAACATTTCTAAATTATACCGCTCTCTGGCCAAATCCGAGCTGCCTGGATGGATGCTGTAAGTTCATTAAACAAGAACATACACACCAAAAAGACTGTGTAAGCACGGTCACAAGAAAGTTTGTTTCCGTAGGCTGTATTGTCTTTCCATCAGTACCTGCTGGGCCTGTCTCGGCTCAAAAGGCCCGGGCTGACATTTTTTGACATCTTTTTTCCCTCCTGCAAGTTGCAAAGAAACTACTTTTGCAGCTTTGAATATTCTTCTGAGATAACCCAGGCTGGATGTTTAACCACTCCTCACCATAACTGGTAGAGCTTTCCTGAGAAAGAGGGAACTTTCAGTTTAAAATATGTTGACTCCTGTCCTTAAGCTTAGTGCAAGATTTGAATTAGTTTCGATTATTGTTCTCTTGAATGCATTAGCTTTAACAATTCTGTCACAAATGAGTTAACTAGTTCCTCAGCATGATGCTGCCTCCACCATGGCTGAACACTGGTACAGTCTTCTTAAATTTGAAATAGTCACCTCAGCTCTACCTAACCTTCTTGTCATTGTGGACAAACAGATCTATTATCCAGAAGGAATTTTTTGGTTTGAACTTGTAGGCAGCTGGATATTTAATTCAGGCTTGAATATGTCCAATAAGCAGGAACGTAGTTCTTGGTCGTATCTCTCAGCCTTAGTGCTGTAAAACCCTGCTCCAAGGTGAACAGTCATGCCGGGTTTTTAACCAGCACTTTCTGGTAGACCGGTACCTTTCAGCTTTGCTATACTGTTCCTGAAGATTCTAACCAAATGTGCCAAAGTGGTTTTAAAAGTGTTTTGTGAAGGATCACTCAGGCTTTACCCCATTAAAAAAGGTATATCTATGCTTAAATGTCCATCCGGGGATAGAAACCAATTTAAACCAACTCTGCAAAGAAGAGTGGTTTAATACCCAGGCTCAGAATGAATTCCTGTCGATGGCGAGTGTACGTAAAGTATTCACTGAAAGTATGAGGACATCAAACTGAAATGTTAAGTACATGACAACACTTTATTAACACAATATTTTTTTGGGGGTAAAGTAAAACTTTTTCAGAATAATATTCCAGATCATTTTTGAGGAGAATAACTTTATAAAGCACGTTTCAAAACAAGATAAAAATATTTAAACAATTTTTTCGTGCTTTAAAGTTCCTCATTTTCGATCGGCTAGTCTCTGCAGGAGCGCGATGATAGTGTCTTGTTTGGAGGAGAGGAGCTCTAACGCCGTGGCTATCCTTCCGAGTGACTCCGTCATCCGTACTTCCCTCCTCTCCCGTCTCTTCTCTCTGGCCTCCACCCTGCGCCGAGCCACCCGTTCCAGGTAGCCCTGCTCTTCCTGTCGCTTCAGGACCTCCTGAAACAACCCAAGGCTGCTTTGCTCCTTGTTTCCCTTCTGGTCCTGCCCCTCGGTTCCTGCCATCACTGTCGCCGACAGCGAAGCAGCACTGGAAGCGGTGTGACAGGAAGACGTTGGGGAGAATGAAGACAGGCCAAGGATGTTCTGAGTGTGGCTAAGCGGCGTCGTACTGAGGCAGAAGGAAGTGACGCCGGATGTGAAGTTTGGAGCTTTTCGGCTTTTCAAGACCGACGCACTTAAATCTGTGCTGCTGGCTGAGCCCAGAGAGGAAGATGCTGAGGCTGTTTCAGTAAAACATGGAGAAGAGATAAAAGACGGAGGTGGTGGGATGGTCACGGACTGAATGCTAGACGGAACAATGTCGCCATTTAGAACAATAACAGGCTTGACCTCTGGAGCATTTACAAGAGTCACAGTGGTTGCAGTCTGTGAAGGACTTGCAGCCGTGCTACCCATGACCTGGCCGCTAACACCCCCCAGACCAGCGGGATCCAAACCTCCAGCGGCAGCAAAGTCCCCATTGGGGCGGATGATGGTAGCTGGTTGTTGAAGCTGCGTCGGTTTTGCAGCAATCTTTGCAGAAGGGATGGCCAGTGAAGAAGCTGTACTGATACCTTTGTTCCTTTTGTTAGAAATGATCTGCGAGCCAATAGTATCACAGAGGGTGGCATCCATGAGCTACACAGAAAAAAAGACCACAAAGAACAGTTACTTATAGCAACAAAATCATTAAACCTTTTTATTAAACTGACATCACTGTTACAGTGGATGATACTGCTTTGAGATTTGTATTTAGAAACATTGAAGGGTTTCTATCAGGGTATGAAATTAACACTCGCCACTTGCCAAATGCAAGAAATTTTTTATTTGACAAGATAATGCCAGAGCACCATTCACCACAAGTAAATGTTAGGACCACAATAGCGCTTCAGGCACATTTTTTAATCTTTTATTTTGGCGAGTCTACCCTCTGTCCCTTTGTTCCTCTGCTGTCTGTCCCTCACGTGGCAATAGACAGATGTGCATACAGAGAGCACACCCCCAAAGAGAAAGTTTACTGAAAAATGCCACTTTTGGGAAGACTGTTTTGCAAGAGACTGGCTTATTGAAGACAATGCTAAGCTAATAAAAAGAAAATACGTTAAAAGACAACAAACACAATTAATTTGTCTCTAGCTGCCAATCTATGAAATTGAAGAGTTTCTGTGAAAAAAAAAACACGGTATATGCCACATTCCATGTATTTATGGTGAATATAACAAATTAAAATAGTTTGCTGTTTTTTGAATGGTTTTATTTATGACCACTTTATCAAATAAAAGTGTTTTGCAAATATGAATGAAATTCTAAATTACAACTTTATTCAATAAAATTACATTACCCTTCACAGTAATTTTGTTTGCATTTAACATAATGCCTTAGTGAAATAATATGTTCCTTAAAATATATGAGAGCAAATTTTATTTTATTTTTTTGGCCATTAAACATAAGCTTGGCGGGTAAATAATTCTAAATAATCTTCTGCTCCAATTGGCCGTCGAGTCAAAAAGTTAATTTTGGACCCTAGTTTTATTAGATGGTAAAATGCATAGATGCTGTACTAAACCCACAATTTCAATAAACAACGTTTTGAGCCTAAACTAAATTAATAATAATTTATATCTGTTCTGACTCTTGAAGGAGGCGGTCACATTTTTCTGCTGCTCTGCAACTCCCTGCTCTGTACCTGCTTCGCTGTGTCTTGTCTTTTCTGAGCTCTCTCTTCATATCACCCAAACTAAAAAAAATTTATCTGGTCAGCTGGTCTCTCAATGCAATTGATTAAATTTTCTCAACTGGAAAACAGGGAAAATGGGGCCCTTGCTGTCCTGCAGCGACATACTGCATGGGATACTCCATGGAATCCTGAAAGGCTTGGAGGATGGTGTGTTTTACACTGTTGACACTGGAGCATGTTGAAGATGTATGGAATTTCGGATTTATGATACTCTGATTTCCCCTGTTTGGATTTGGAGGATACCAGATGCATCTACAATTACAGCGTCCAAAACTGTATTGCAGGTTTATAAACTTCCATCTTATCAAGGACAATGGCCTGTGGACAGCGTTCATGGACAAATGGAAGACATTTCTTCATACATACACAACTGATGCTCAAAATTTCAGATTGACTTAAACTTGGCTCCAGCGTTCGATGTAACCCTCAGCTAAAATGTTTGTCTCATGTTGTTCTTGTGCTAAGGTTTTTTTATGTCTCAAACTGTATCCTGTCAAAGATAAAGTGTGAAATATGCTTTTTTTCCTTCTCCCTCCCAACATGGCTCCTATCTTTCCACAGAGATAAAGGCAGCGCTATAGGAAACCGCCTCACGGTGGCGCCCTTGGCATCCATAAGAACACGCCAAAGACAGTGTTCTGCGGCAGGCATTGCCTCATTAAATCATTCCCTGTGTCACCCCCCCCACCCCAATCTATGTGATGTATGTGATGAACAGTTTGTACTGAAACTGAAATCTCGATTACAATGCAAACTGTAGGTGACAATAAAGAAATTGATTGATTAATTGAAAACATCCTACTTCACCAAACCCAATTCTCACAACTATGTAGATGAATAGACAGGTGGGTACCAGAGCTATGAATGTATGGATAAATGGAAGAAGTTGCATGAAAGAGTTGATGGGCAGGAAGATAAACAACCCATCTAGGTCATATAGTTCATCACTTGACTAGATGGATTATTTGAGTTGAAGGTAAAACTTTAAGACTAAACTATAACAGTACGTTAATGTGCAATAGAAATGTATTTCTATACAAGCACATCTGTTTGCAGAGAGAAATCAGTCAGAAAGTATTAAATTAAAATCCATATTTGGTGCTTTCAGCAGGTTTGGATAATTCCACTTTTAACTAGTTAGTCAAATTAAAA